AGCTGTTGTTGTCCGACTCGGCGGTGGCAGCAGCGGCAGCGTCGGCGTCGGCGGCGGCCTTGGCCTCGTCGAAGGGCACGGGGGCCGGAGGCGGATTGAACGGGCGGAAGCGCTTGGCGAGATCCTCCACGGAGACCTTCAGGTCGGCCATGTTAAGGCTGTTGTCGGAGTGAGGGTCCATGTCGAAGTGGTTGCCCAGGGCGCCACCGTCTTGCTCGCCGAGCTGGTGGGCGGAGCTCTCCATGGTGTCGGCGGCAGCGGATAGCGTGAAGATCACGTCGTCCGCTTCCTGTTTGGTGGGCTTCTTCGCTGTGAAGATAGCGTTGAAGGCTTCGGCGGTAGAGGTCGGGGGGACGGTGGTCGAGACAGAGATGGGGCGATGGATGGAGAAAAACGACGCCACATGGACATCTGCACACGAGGGAAAGGATAAAGTTAGCTTAAACGATACTTGCCTATTTCAAAAGGGGAATATAGCCCTGAACTCACCATGAGGCTGCAGGTGCTGTGTCGAGGGAACGCTGGGCAGGTTGGAAAACGCTGACGGCTGGTTCGACTTAGGACCGTTGCGGCCGTTGTCCTTCCCACGGCGTTTCGAGGCCTTCCCTTCGCGCTTCTCCCCCGAGTTGACGCCCTTCGCGGGAGCCTGAGACGAGGTCTCTACCCGCCGAGAGCCATCGCTGGGTTTCGAGGAGGAAGACGAGTACCGGCGCTGACGCACATGTTGAGTGGCGCCGAGAAGACCGTTGGAGGAAGTTGACAAAGTCTGAGTGGAAGAGCGAGAAATGCCGGAGATGGGCGCAAGAGGCGTCCATGCCACGCGGCGAAACGAAGAGGATAGCATTTTGATCAGTGTCGTCAAGCCCAAGAGCTAGGCCGATGTTGTTCGGAAGAAAACCGGGTAGAATCGCCAGAGGCGAAATGAAGTCAAACTGATCAGGCGGAATCGCCGATTAGGTAAGGCGGATGATCTTGCATGGTCACGTGGTATGTGGCGCATCGTACCTAGTTGGCGGCCTCAGGCCTGAAGAAGCCTCAGGCAGATGTCGGATCTGCAAACCGTATACTTCAGTTCAAATGACCAACCCTTTCAACTAAATCACAAATTCATACAACAACATATTAATTACGTGCTGATACGTCTATGAGGCCTCTATAGCAAATTTTATACATATCCAGACCAATCATAATATGCTACTTATCCGTCAGTATACAGAATAGATTAGGTGTGAGCATGCTTGGAAGGCAAAGAGTTTGTGGTCTAGAGTCAAGCAAATATGTTTCCTGTTGTCAATGATTTACCATGCCCCTAACTTAATGCACATGGGATTATTCAAAAGGCCAATATCGCTCGTACTCAGCCCTTTCCTCATCAGTCTCGGCCAACTGCTCCAATATCTGACCTTTGACTTCCGCGAGAGCAGCTTTGCAATCATCGTACCGCTCATGCTCGATGGAGCCTTTGTCTGGCCATAAATCACCCATTCTCTCCTTGACCTCCGCGACAAGCTGTGTCCCTGCCACTGCACCATCACTGTCAATTTTGATGCGTTCGATATCTGCTTCCGAAAAGTGAAGCGGGAATGGGCTGTCACTAGTAACGGTAGGTAACTCCGCCCATGAATCCTTCAGATCAACCAATAGGGACTGAAAGTGCGCCTCGCCATATTCGAACATTCGGTGGGCAAGAAACATCAGTCCGTATGCGACAGACTTTCGGTATTCAATAACTTGATATAGATCCGGATTTTTAGCTTGCATGAGTTTCCGCCATCCAATGAATAGGTTTTGGACGGCATACTCATGCACAGCCGCAGATCGTTCCTTGGGTGAAAGACCCGAGAGTTTGGGCCGTGATACTAGATCAAGTGTCTCAGGTTCAAGGCCATCCCAGTTGAGAAAGGCTGGGTCAGGATTATGATTGAAAAGAGATGATATATGACAAGACTGCCAGTCGATGATACCCGTGATCTTTCCGGGATTCTGTGGGTCTATGAAGATATTATCATAATGTAGATCGTCATGCCAGAGATAGGGACTAGCGATAGCTGGATTCTTTGGCAAAAGAGCATTTATGACTTGTTGATACCATGCTAAAGCTGTAATCTTCTTTTCTGTGTCTGGCTGATATAATTTTGGGCCACAGAACAACGCAATTTGTTTTGGGGGTTTTGAACATTGTATTGCCTTGAGCTCTCGCATCCTGACTGCTTGTAAGTATTGTATTAAAGAGGTCCCTGTAATATCATTAGTAACAGTAAAAAGCATGGTAATAATGTAGATTATAACATACATGGCCCTTTCTCAACATCTAGCACTGATCGACCTGCGTCAAACCAATCTCGGCTTGTAGCTGGACCAATAGTAAACTCGGAATCTTTGACAGACTCCCCATCCTTAACATAGTAACTGCCCTTTAGTGATTGCACATCTTTTTTGTAGTATAAGCCGCCATAGTGTGAGAATGAAACACTTAGCCATTGCTTCTGAAGATGTGTCACAGCAAGAAGCACTTGAAGCTTTTGAGGTAGTGTCATTGTGTCCCAAACTTGAGACAGCGGAACCCCTTCGACTTTATCCATAATGATGAATTCAGCCCCAACAGGATGCGATCCTGCCTGCGAATTCCATGTATATACTCGAGGTGCTGGTGTGTCTAGAACTTTTCTGGCCTCCACAATCAGTCATGTCAGTAAAACTCTATTATTGCGGAGAAAGAGATAGCAAGTCTCTATGAGTATACTCATCAGAAGGAACCTACAAAGTCCATAGTCGCAACTTCACTAGCGGTAGTAAAGTGTGGAGCTCCAGCATTCGGATTAGGCACCTTGGCTATAACTTCCCGACCATTATCCATAGACATAAGAAATGCCTTATTGAACATGCCATCGGGGTACTTTGTAATTGAGATACACTGAGCGGCTCCGACCGAGTCTGCTGCGATCCTTGCAAGCCTATTCATGTCAAACCTGACCTCTCGCTTGCGAAGATTCTCAGCCTCGTCTATAACAAAGCGACCTCGCGTAAACTTGAAAAATTCATCTTTAGAATTCCAACCTGTTACAGATGAGTGACATGTTAAATCGGGTTGATTGCGCCCAAACCGGCGTGCTTACCTGTCTGAGAAGAGTCCATGTTCGCGGGACAATGACTGTAAGATAGAGTTGCAGCTTGGGGGATTGAGGGGCGGGATTGCTTCGGGCTTGGTATTCTACTCTCGATATACCACAAAAGACGCGAGGATGGATGTCGACGCATGGTTTGGATAAATGTAACGATGCCCTGTTGATCATACCTACCTCCAGAAGACCAGTTAATACTCTGTATGACGCGAGCATCGGGCAGTCGGCAAAGTGAGAATTGTGGGAAAGTATCGGTTCTGGAAACCGAGCAAATCGAGAGTTTGATGATGATGAAGGACCTGCGGAGGAAGATTAGATAGCATTAAGACTCAAGGGCGATAGGAATACCCAGTCGGGGACGAGATGGTCTCCACGTGACTCAAGCCGTGACGCCTACTTATGACCAGTTGTTGAGGACTACTATTATCCAAAGCCCAAGCATGAGTATATCATAATAGACCGGCGAATCTCAAGTTCCCGATTTATAGACAAAGTTTGCTGCAGTTCCAGTATATAAGTCGAGGTGACGACGGAAACACCACGTGCCCTTTTCATGAGTTTAGTACCTACCTTCAAGTGATGGTTCGTGTCTTCTCGCTGTCTATTCTGTGCATCCCAGGACCTTTTGTCTCGTCTCTTCTCTTACACGGAACCACACAGACGCCTGTCTCTACACGTCCTCTCCTTTGAATCCGTTGAAACGAGCGTGATCAGTACTCCTGAAGGAGGTACTTATACATATAATACCACCAGGAGACCTACCATACCACCAGGGGACTGGTAATACCCCTAAAGATCCCCTGCGCCTGGGAAGCAACAAGACTATCTCCGGCTAAATACCTATAGGCTTGTTCAAGTTGAAACAACTATAGGTATCATATAATTAGAGCCAGACTGCGGTGCATACCCTCGGAAGTACACCAGACGATAAACGGCTGGTTTGGACCCATCATCCGGCATTGCGACGACATGCTCTAGTTAACGTATCGCATCCCCAGTACGGCCCTAAGGTATGGTTTATGAAGGGCGCGTATGAAGACATCAAAGCGGGAGGGCGACTGATGCACCCTTATCCTAAAGACAGATCGAATCTTCGACCATTTGGGAGAATTTCGACTCCACGTTCATCATGGAAGGAGGAATACATATCAATTCAAGAAGAAAGCTCCTGCCCCCCGCCACAATTGATTGCTTGCGCGAGCTTTTCCCCGCGGCAGTAAGGGGCCCGTGTTTTCGTCAGTGGATCCCTTGTCATCCTTTTAACTCATTCCACGACATTCAAGCCCTGTATGAGAGTGACTGGATCATGGAAGTTGGAGGCTTGCTAACATGTTATGGTGGATTTAGGCTCAAGCCCAGCACAGACACCGTCATATCCGGCATGTAAATATGCGGAAAACGTGAGAGTGTTCATGGTCAGGGCTTCTTGGGCCTGAGATTTCGGATGACCGATGGAACCGAAGCCATAACCACCGTGACACGTGGCTTTGTTAGAAATTCACAAAGGTGCCGCAAGACGATGATATTTTCTGACTGGATCCTGAGAGCCATCTTTAGGTGGCAATGTAGTACATTGTGGGAACAGGTATCCTCACTATAGAAGTAACATACACGGGAGACAAGTGGGTTTCACTAGCAAGGGAATATAACCCATGTAGGCGGTCTTCCGTCCGTAGTAGTGGAATGTAAAGAGAAGTGGGGCCGGGCGAGGGAAAGCAACGCAAATCGCGCTCGATGCAGACTTGACGATTTGCGTCAGCATAGACAAGGAAAAGGAAAAGCAGACGGGCGAGATCTGCACTGGGAGAAGAAGCCATAGGGAGGACAAAAGGCGCATAGCTTGAAGAACTCAATTTAGAGCGCCCTTTATCATATCCATCCGATATGGTGTAACGGCTAGCATCGCTGGTTTTCACTCAGCAGATCGGGGTTCGATTCCCCGTATCGGAGCTTACTTTTTGCTTTTTTACAAACTCACCTTGAGTTCTGTTTTTTTATTTGATTTCTTTCCCTCTGTAATGCAGATACCCTGGCATGTTTGATTTCCTCTCACTCCTATCTTCTTCTCGTGTGTCGTTTGTATCTGATAGACTTTTTCTTCCATTATTGGAGTGGGCTGGTTGGTTATTATTCCAAGTGTGTTGTATTTTTTCTTTTTGTGATTCACTCCGGAGTACTAATCTATAGATGGGGAATACCTGAAACCATACTGAATTTTGAGTATTAATTGTGAAGATGGGTTATAAGGCTGCGATTTGTAGTAAATTATTATTCCGGTACACTCATACAATAACACGGATAGTATCAACACGGATGATCCTCCATGATTAGATAGATATCCTCAGTGAAACTCCTAAGTGAGTCCACCATTCAAGACTTCAAGAGGCACGCCACACAATACCATTGGAAGAAGAGAATGAATGAAAATAAATAGAATGAAAAGGAAGCTAGCTGGCAGCAAGTAGATCTACCTACCGTATGGAGTACCCATACACAAAAAAGGAAAAAGAAAGCTCCGATACGGGGAATCGAACCCCGATCTGCTGAGTGAAAACCAGCGATGCTAGCCGTTACACCATATCGGATGAGTACGGATTATGATCTATTATATTTGAAATTAAGAGCTACCATCCGAAACATAGCTGCTAAAAGGGTAGGCTTGAGGCAAGTTTCGAGCGGAGACGCAATACTTGCTGTTCATCGTGGACTGGACCGGCCTTGATATCGCAGCTACTAGAGGTCTTATAGTGCTTCTAGTAGTTCGCTTGCTGATTCTGAATAGTCAAATCTAGCAGAGATAATATTCTATAGCTACAGAATACAGAAAAGATCTCATAGCCCGATAGAATGATAGAATGATAAGGTTGATTGATTGAAAGACTTTATGGGAGAGATGATAAAGCAGGAAGTTAAATTCAAGAAATCTCCAGTATTCCAGCGTGGAAGCAACATGGTTTCTTGCTTCAAAGTGCACGGCAGACTGACTTTTTTATTATAACCCCGATTTACACCACATCGGATGATTACGACGAAATATGCATGAACTTTAGTACCTTCCATTATGGAATATTCATAGATAGACAAAGTGATAATGTGACATTGAACTCTGACGTCAAAGAACGGTATTTATCGTTTGACCTGGATTCTTACTTTCCCCCCATTCTTCTCTTGTCTTCTTCTACACTCAATATTCTTTTCTTATTAAAACAGCACCAGTTTTATATTCATTGTTTCTAGTATCAAGCGATTGTTTGACATCTCGGATATCAAGTAAAGCAATAGTTTGGGGTAGATACCCTTGATAACCAGGATGGCCACCGTGCGAAACCCGACAGCCTTGACCGACCTCCCACCTGAGTTATTATGGATGATCTCTGAGTATTTATCACCAGTTGATCTTGCTTGCCTCGCCTTAAGGAATCGTCATCTGCTGCACACCTTTGCTGGGACTGCTTTCAAGAACTTCTCAAACGGCCGCACCGGAAACCCCACGGATGACGCACGCATCCAGCTGTTATCTCGGCTTTCTTGCGACCTACCGCAGTACCATCTCTGCTTTATCTGCCTTCGACTTCATTTGTGGAAAAAGGCCGGGCTACCAAGCGTATATTATTTCAAGATCCACCGCCGCGCAGATGTCTTGGATTCTACCAATTGGTATCTTATAGAACATCTATCCCTCGCTCACCACCCATCATATAGTCTTTACAGATTTCACTTCGTGCATTTACAGCTTGCCATGAGAAGGTTTTACTATGGACCGGAGTTCGGAATCCCTGTTGAGGCATTGCTATACACAGAGATAAAAGCGAGCCGATTCAAATCCAAAGGCCCGCCCTTACTACAGCCTCCTATCAACAAGGCGTCAGAAGGGGATACCCAAAAGGATAATATGATGGTGCTATTCTCTGCTGAAGCTCGGATTTGCTCTGCGCCTCCGGCTTTATGTTTGCGGACGCAAGATATAGCGGTAGTAACACGACAAAATTTACCACGACTGTGGCCATGCCGCGAAAATGGACCTATGAAAGTCTGCCGGCATATCCCCACTTTTGACCCGGGCTTTGACGACATCTTGGCTTCTCAAATTAGACGTTATCGCTCTGCCACAAGTCCCAGAGTCCCAGCTGACGAAGGGAGTTGTGACAAATGTAATACCCCTTGGCAGTTGGAGATTCGGACCCTGGATGAAACTCATGCAAGCCTCATCCTTACCATATGGATGGACCTAGGACCGGGGCTAAGTGTAGAAGATCCTCAGTGGAAGTATCGTCTTTTTAATGTACCCCCGTCGCTTTCAGCAGAACACGAGATAGTGGACTCTCGCCTACGGTTCGAGAGGGACTCTGTTCAGGCTAGGTCTTCAAATGCTCTATCTGAGGATGGGATGTATTGCCGGAATATCTCATTGCTAGAAGGGAAGACATATCAACATATCAAACAGTGATGACTCCAGTCGACGGTAGAACCTACATAATGCACGGACAAGCAGAAGCAAAGACAAGTCCTTCTCACTGTATTATTCTCTGAGAAAAGCAAGCTAGGGTGTCCAATGTTTGTTTAGTTCCCAAGACTATCATCACTGTGAAGCTCAGTCACATTCGTTCCTTCCTTGTTGTGAAACTTCTCAACCAAAAAAA